AACCACAAAAAGAAGCAATGAAACTAAAGATTAAACAGGGACACAGGCAAATAATGAGAATTAAGTTAAAAGATGATATGCTAACGCTAGAATAATGATATATAGCCTAGGAGGAAAGAGGAAAATAATCACGAAGTTAAATGAAATATCCAAATAGGCGTCAATAATGTAAATCACTCATTCAGGAGGGATTTTTCAAACAATTATTCCGTAACACCTGTCGGAGTTCCCCACTTCTGACTGGTCTTCTGTCTGTTCTTCAGTATGTAGGAAAAGCATCTGCTGAGTGAAGTCTGACTTCTATTGATAATACTCTTTATGACTCTTCAAATTTGTGAAACCTTTGGAAAACCGTTAAAAGCTCGAATCTCGTTCTTTGAGCAAAATGCTGTAGATTTCACAGTTTTGAAGGCTTGTCTTACTTTGCTGATCCCTATCATGTCTGGATTTAACGTCCTCATCGGTGACCTTTGTAGGTGAAACGATACTGAATAGATCTAATTTTATAAGCAGGGGTTTTCTAAGAAACCTATTCCAAGGCATTGATTTGCAGAAATTTGACTGGGTACAGGATTTCATCATGAGCTGGCCTCTGCTATAAAACTATTGGACAACCATGGTCTGCACAACCCACTCGGTGTGAGGACAAATACTCTCCGATGACATTCTCTAGTGGTTGTTCTGCATCGTGAATGGTTATCCTGAAACGTTTATTGATAAGAATGGGAATCTAAAACCAAAGCAGCCCAAGTTACCAACACTTCCAAAGGAGGCTTATTCTTACAGATTCAGTTCCTTGGGACAACACCAGCGAGATACTAACACAGCAGCTTAGAAATGCTGCTGAATTACGTTGTATCTTTAAAACCGCTCCTCTTCTGCGTTCGGGAATAAAAGACAAACTGCCTAATTTCGCCTCTTCCATGTGTATCTACCAATTTAACTGCTCCTGTGGAGCCAGTTACATAGGCCGTACAATTGGGGTGTTACTTGTCGAATTTCTGAACATCAACCCGCGTGGTTAAGCAAAGGGCAAACAAAATCTATTCGCAGGGCTATTCTGTCTCATCTTGCGGAGACAAAACACGAGATTGATGTTAACCATGCTTTCAGGGTCATTTACCGCATACCTACTAATCTCAATTTTGCCTTAAGATTTCGACTACTAAATATTGCTGAGGCTGTGGGGATCCATATTAAGCCTAATTTATGTGTCCAAAAGAAGTTAGTTCAAACATTATCATAACCTTGACCATCCAGGTTTGAATGATTCTGAATTTTTGTGGAATTTTCCTAATTTTAGTTGATATTCTCTTTGCTACTATATCTTTATTATGATTATAATTTAAGCATCTTTAGTGACCTGTAAATGCATTGATCATATTTACAAATCGACATTATTTAAAAAACACTAATATTGTTACTGACTACTAATCTAGAATATTCTGTGTATATAAACATATATATATATATATTAATTGTAGAGCCAGAAGAGGAATTTATCGAAAAGAATATTCTTTGTTCGATTATTTTGTGTTTTATGTATGTCTGAATGAATATTTTCGCTACATCGTGAATTGGCAGAAGTTGGAATTAATGGGATGGCCATTTTATCGGGTCCCAGTGGAAGATCCTTGGTTCGGGCCCCGGTGGGTGCGTACTGATGAAGGGTTCAAAACTGGGCCGGCGAAACAGCTGTCCAGTATTCCTAAGTTTTCAAGGATTCTGTGGTGATTGACTATTTCTCTCTCTGTATTGTTTAAATACTTAAATACTTACTCTTTTATATTACCGTTGATTGTTAATATATTTCTTATATGAATTGAATATAATTCCGCTAAATACAAATTCCTGAATTCCGCCCTCTCTGTGTTTTGGTTGGATTCTTGTAATTCGTTCATCTTGAAATACTAATACTACGATTACAAATAATTACAACAAATTGGCATCGCGATGGAACTAAATAACCTGGGAAAATTTCCTCTAAAGGGTTCACCGCAGGAAATTGCTGATTATTTGGAATGCTTCGATGCATGGTGCATTTCAAAGAACGTTTGGGGATGACAAAATTCCAGCACATTTCATTACTACTATTGGGCTAGATGCATATAGCCTAGTGAAGAATCTGGCGTTTCCAGATAAACCAATTTCTCTGTCATATGACAAGATCCGTGAAATTCTGATGCATCACTTCCATGTAACTACTTTTGAGACGAGAGAGAGGGCTCATTTCAATAAACTGGTTCGTGCTCCCAACCAAAAGATTCGAGAGTTCATTCTTCAACTTCAAATGCAAGCTTCAAAGTGAAACTTTGGAGATCAGCTGCATACTCAACTACGTGATCGTCTAATTGCTGGAATCAATATTCCTAAGTTAGAGAAAGAGTCAATTCAGATTCCTTCTTGTACCTTTCAAACTGCTAAAGATTTATGTATTACATATGAAGATGTCAACAGTGAATACTCTGCTCCCACTACGTCAGTATCTGATGTCATGCTTTCTAAAGTCGAAAATACAAGTGGTCATGGAAAGCAATCCAAACTGCCGTCCACAGGTAATAGAATGCAGCGAGAGATCAAAAACATTAAACCGTGTTTATCCTGTGGAAAGTTACATCTACGAAGCACTTGCCGTTTTCGGGGTGCTAAGTGTCACAAATGTGGTAAACTTGGACACATCAAGACTGTCTGCAGAAGTTCGAATACTCATGTTACTCAGAATTCTTATAATTCTCCCAATCTGTCTAGTAAAATGGAGTCAATGTGTCTTTCAACTTTTCAAAATACTCAATCTCATCCAATGAAAACCTCCACTACAAGTTCAGCAACTCAAGCGTCAACTGTTTTCAAAAATGAGGTAGCCGAATTACAATGCGAACTGTCGAAAACACGAAAAGACCTGAATGAGATGAGAGAGCAACTGATTAAAATGGAGGAATTGCTGCATATGCATAGACTGCGTCTGTTGAATGCAGAGCATACAAGTATCCATGAAAGTCCTGCAAAACTTTTCAAATCTCGAATTCTCAAAAAGCATCTGATGTCCACGACTTCTAATGTACATTATTACAAAGGGAATGACTACAGACCTTCTGTTGGAATCATGCTACAAAAAATGGGAAATCGAGTGGTGAAGATATTAGACATCAAAGATCACTCAGTTCATAACAGACGCCTGGACAAAGTGACAATAAATGAAGTAGGTCGTTCCAATTATAATTTTAATGATTCCGCTAATAATCCTGATTTTGTAGATAATTCAGAAATAAGTCTAGATGATACTGATGGATATAATATCACAGAATCAGTTAGAAGGTCGCAGCTACTTGCAAGCAAACCGAGACATCGTTATAAATACGCAAGGAGATATTCGACGTGTGGCGGATGTGGTGATTGACAATTTCTATCTCTGTATTGTTTAAATACTTACTGTTGATTGTAATATATTTCTTATATGAATTGAATATAATTCCGCTAAATACAAATTCCTGAATTCCGCCCTCTCTGTGTTTTGTTTGGATTCTTGTAATTCGGTCATCTTGAAATACTAATACTACGATTACAAATATTCACAACCGATTCTCTAACAGATGTCAGGTCATGATGAAATCCTGAAACGTATTTCGTTTGTTTCTCCATGAAATGAAATGTAGCGCTTGGTTATTAATTTATTTGTTTGTTAGCAAGACTGACATATTCCAGAGTTGATGAAAGCACATAATATCATCTCCTGGAAAACTGTTACAACAAAATATCTTCTATTAGGACGAAATGCGCATCCTGGATTCCACTGCTAGCCATCATCCACCAATTGTACACCAAAATATCTTCTAATATGAAAATCTTTGGCAGTAAATATCACAAATTTAGTGTGAAATTGAGGGGAAAGCCTCCAGATCTTGACACTATCCTTTGCGTACATCTAATCCTAACTCTTCAGATGGTTTATATATCCAACAGAAACCTTCATTAATCGCTCAATTCCATATTCACTTAACGAGTTGATCACGGGTTGATAACAGTTACAGAAGAATTGAAAACCAGTAACGGAGTACTGGACAGCTGTTTCATCCTAGTTTGGGAATCATCGGCAGTAGGCATTCACTGGGATTCGAACTCACGACCTTCCGGTTACAAGGCAAGCTCGTATACTATTCAGCCACTGGGACCCAGTGGATGCGTACTGTCGATGATTCCCGAACTAGGATGAAACAGCAGCTGTCCAGTATTCCAATGCTGGTTTTCAATGGTTCTCTAACTGTTATCCATCCGTGATCAACTTGTAAAAGCAAAACTAATCCTTACAAACCAACTATCGAAAATCAATATTCATTTTATTGTGGAAATCTAATTGATCATAAGCAAACTGAAACTTTTTTTTCCACATTAAATCAGTGAAAATTATACATTGTAATTTCTTTTTTCATTGATAACGTACATTTCATTTTAACTTCACACATTTCCTGCATGTTAAATCATCATGCACTGTTTTAAGGCTTTCATATGACTTGTTATTAAAACTTCCAGAATCTCATACAAATATCGAAAATAATTAGGGTTACAAAATCAATGCCAGTTGTAGAACTGTTTATAGTACTAACCAATCAAAGATATCCAAAAAACTACACATCTCTTATCTGATTGGTTAATCCAGTAAAAGATATCATCGTTACAAATGCTGTCTAAGTTCTGTTTTCAAAAGTCATACATACTTGAGCTTTTTAATAGCGTTTTCTCTTTCAACAAGTACTAAATCGGATTGGTTCTTTGAAAATCACTTGGTCTGTTGTTCATCTAAAAGAAGTATCCTTCAGACTTGCCTAGACATATTGTGATATGGTTATTTCTGGACGACAATATTCAAAGATTGATGTGAATTGATTTGGGTGCGAAAATAACAATATCACTGGTTGGTTAATATATATATATATATATATATATATATATATATATATATATATATATATATAGGTTATCATTAAATCAGTTTTTGTGCGATCATGTCGCGAAATCAAAGTTCATCATCATCACCACCACCACCACAGATATACGCTATTGGAGTTGGTTTACCACGGACAGGAACAACAAGTTTACATGCCGCCCTTGAAATTCTCTATAATGGACGTTGTTATCGTCTGTTTGAAGATATGAAAACACGAAGACATGATGTAGCTAAATGGCAAAGATTGATGGATGAAGCGAAATCATCAAAAAATGCAGTAATTAATAAACAAACTGTTTATGAAATATTATCAGGCTATAATAGTATGGTTGATCTACCAGGCTCTGTACTACACAAAGAAATGCTACAAATATTTCCAAATGCTAAAGTTAGTACTGCAATTTGTATCAGTTGATTATTTTTTTAAAATATTTTCTTTTTCCTTTTGCATTAATAGTAGAACATAGAGCTTTAAGGTTGTGTTTTCAAGTTCCAATAAAGGTGGGTTGATAGGTTCACGCCCAACTACGTGTATTTAAGAGGAGCACGTGTATGTGTTTGGCGAGAATTTTACTTCTGAACCACTGACCCTCTCACGCACACACACACACCAAAATAAAAGCTCCTCAAACGGTAGTGGAACCAAAATCTTCCAAGTGACATCTTTGTGACCTAAAGGTCTTGGATTTGATTCCTGGTACGGTGATAGGTGCATTCTCCTGAAGACTCATACACAAAGGAAAAAGCAGTTCTCTGGTATCAGTTAATTTACATGGTGGAGATTATTCCACTGTAGAGATTAGTTGTCTGGTATATGCATTTTAAGTGCAAAAGAAATAAATAAACTTCATACACATGAACTCGGCTCCAAACTAGCGAAATGGTTGTCTGATGTTCAGATTACTTCAGTGTGGCTCGCAAACACACGAATTTTCACTAACTACTCATATTTGTCAATAGCCTTTGTCATTGCGTTACTAATATATATGAATCATAAGAAAAAGGCACAAACAGCGAAGAAAAGTTTCTTTTCGACGATTCATTTTCATAAGTTGTACAATCGTAATTATAATGAACATACAAATCTTTAGACCAATCAGATACTGGTGTACTTTGTCCTTGAAAAATTGTATTACGTAATTCAAGGTGTAAGAAGGGATGACTAATTGTAAGTTAGAAAGGAGACAGAAGTTGGAATGTCTTAACAAGTGTGAGATAATGACTAATCAATAAGCCAGTGTAGAATGGACAGGAACTAGTGGAAAGGCACAGTGGTTAGGACTCTCGCCGACCATGCACATGGTCCGAGGTTCGATCCCCTGCTGACGCCCACCTGATATCTATCTATGGTCGGCCTGCAAATTTGGGCTACCGATATCTATGCGAAAATTCCATACTTGTACCAAAAATACAGTGTGTAATCAAGCTGTAATAAAAAAAGATAAATAAAGTAGTTTTGTATAAGATCTGTGTGAAAAAGCAATGTTATTAATAAACAGTAATAGAGTGGTTATAAAATATGGAAGATGGTAATATTAATGACAATAAAAGTATTAAAAACAATAATAATAATAATAGTGAACTTACATATTAAAAGAAAGGAGCAAAATTATAGTAAAAAATTTACTCTGGCCATGGTAGGACCAGAGAATGTATGTATCGTTTTTGTATGCACAGGTCAGGTTTTAGGTCTCGAATAGCTAATGCCTCAGCTATGTACAGATATCGTATCCGGAGTCCTTTTGTACGATATTGAGGGACTCTGTGTACCACTGTGAAGCATTCATGTGGGGGTGCTCGATGTCCGGAGATGACAAGGTGTTCGAGGATTGAGCTGTTGCTATTATTCTTTTCTCCTCTGGCTAACCAGGCTGGGCAGTGTTCCAGGATACGTTTGTGGACATGACGTTGCGTACGGCCGATATACTTTCCTCCACACGAGCAAGTAAACTGATAAATACACAGTGAAATCGCCAACAGCGGTAACTTGTCTTTAAGGTTAAACTGGATTAATTGTCTGCAGGAGAATGTTATACGTAGAGTGGCTGATGGTAATGTCTTCTTCAGACTTTTTGAAAGGCAGTTTCTCAGAATTTCCGCTTCAGTGTCACCTTTGAAGCTAGGCTATTGAAGAGAGTCTTCTTAGGAACAGTTGTGATGTTTGACACCGGAGGCTTTCTTTCATGTTTTTGTCGATGAATCTTGGTGGTTACCCATTCTCTAGTAGGGGTTCACGCAATAAATTTATTAAAAATTAATAATATAATTTAACTTGGGAGAGGTAACCAGGATTATTCGGGTAAGATGAGAAGTCCAAGGTCATGTGAACAACATCTTCATGTTCTAACGAACGAAGGGAGAGGTGATTGATTTTTATGACGGATTTTTTAAATCAAGCTACTGACTTCAGTATCCTAATGATCCGGCCAAACAAACTCAAACAGCAATGAAAAATCCTCAAATGAACTGTAGTCAAGCTTTAATAGAATAGTTCTGAAAGATTTGAGCGCCGAGTGAGAAGTAGACATTTGCAAAAAAATATATTTGTAAAATGTCAGCGAGATTGAAATGAGTAATTCCAACGTTTCCCGTGTTCCCCAATCTGGTCCCAACTTCTTCAGGGAAATTAATCCAAATTAACATAACATAACATAACAGAGGTTTATATATAAAAGGAACATCTCTCATTTTTAAAAACTTTGTCCAATCATGAGTGATAAAACAAGTATTAACAAGTATAATAAACAAAATTGTATCAGTTGTGATCAAAATTTGACCTCGGACCTGTTACAAATATTGATCTACCTTTGTTAAACACTTTAAACACAGTGTGTATGTGTGTGTGTGGGTAAACAGTTGTAAAACAATGTCTTAACGTCTCCATAAGTAGATATAGACAGTCAGGAACTTTGACCAAGTATTATTAGTTAGTGATACATATGCATTTTTATTTATTAATCACGATTTCCTATGTGTGTCTTCAATGTGTCTTCAATAGCACAATAATTCTTCATTTAGGTTATAAGATAAATCTTTCAATGGATGAAAGTCATTCTAAATCACTACTAGACCGTTCACATTAACTACTTTGTTGAATTGTTTCATCAAAAGTAGCTGTTATCAAATAATTCTAACTGATTCATATTCCAAATGAACTGTCGTCAAGATTTGACAAATAGTTCTAAAATATTTGGGTGTTAGAATTACTCATTTCAATCTCGCTGAGATTTTAGAAATATATTTCTTTTAATAAATGTCTACTTCTCACTCGGCGCCCATATATTTTAAAATTATTCTGTCAAATCTTGACAGTTCATTTGAATTATTTTGCAATCGAATAAAATTAAAAAAGAAACTATGTAATTATAAAACACAAAATAATCGAGCAAAGAATATTCTTTTCGATAAATTCCTCTTCTGGCTCTACAATTATATACATGTTTATATACACAGAATATTCAAGGTTGGTAGTTAATAACAATATTAGTGTTTTTTAAATAATATCGATTTGTAAAGCAAGATCAATGCAATTACAGTTCACTAAAAATACTTAAATTATAATAGTAATAAAGATATAATAGCGAGTAGGATATCAACTAAAATTAAGAAATTTTCACGAAAATTGAGCATCATTCAAACCTAGATGGCCAAGGTAGGGACAGCGTCTGAACTAACTTCTTTTGGACGCACAAATTAGGCTTTATAATGTGGATCCCAACAGCCTCAGCAATATTTAGTAATCGAACTCTTAAGACGAAGTTGAGATTTGTTGGTATCCGATAAATAAATCTAAAAGCTTGGTTAACATCAATCTTATGTTCTGTATCCACCAGATGAGCCAAAATAGCGCTACGGATAGATTTTGTTTGGCCTTTGCTTAACCACGCAGGGTGATGTTCGGAAATTCGACGGGAAACATGCCTAATTGTGCGGCCTATGTAACTGGCTCCACAGGAGCAATTAAATTGGTAGATACACATGGATGAGGCGAAATTAGGCAGTTTGTCTTTCACTCCCGAACGCAGAAGAGAAGTAGTCTTAAAGATACAACGTAATTCAGCAGCAGGGAATGCTCGTTTTACCGCATTTCTAATACGCTGTGTTAGTATCTCGCTAGTGTTGTCCCCAAGGAACTGCATCTGAAAGAATAAGGCCTATTTTGGAACTGTTGGTAACTTCGGCTGCTTTGGTTTCAAATTCATATTCTTATCAATAAACTTTTCAGGATAACCATTCTCACTTAGCAACCGTTTAATATTATTCAGTTCTTCATCAAGACATTCGTCCGAGCAAATCGCTCTTGCTCTGTGAACCAGGCACTTTATCAAATTGCGTTTGTATTTCAAGGGCACAAAACTGAGAAAATGTGTGTACTGGCCCGTTGATGTAGGTTTTCTATAAACACTTCTTCTTATTGAGCCATCCTCTTTTCTGGTCATAAAAACGTCTAAAAATGGAATACTAGATTCCTTTTCTGTCTCAATGGTAAAATTTATTGCAGTATGTACCTCGTTAAATTTATCCAGGATGCTCTTTGCTTCCTTCTCGTTTTTCATAATTAAAAAGTATCATCCATGTACCGACAATAAAATTCGAGTTCACTAATAACATCCTTCAGAGGCCCAATTTTTTAGTTTCGCAAAGAAAATGTCGGCTAGAATGGGTCCCAGTGGTGACCCCATTGCCACACCGTCAATTTGTCTATATAGTTCCTTATTAAATAAAAAGTGGACATTCATTGTAAATTTCAAGAGAAGCTCTTTCACAAATGATATAGGAATGCCAACATCGATGTTTCGTCGTTTAAGTTCTTCACATACAAAGTCCACTGTTTCCATAAGTGGTACATTGGTGAATAAGGAAGATACGTCAAATGATATCATGAATTTATTGTCGACACTTAAATCTTTTATCCTTTCCACAAATCCGAAAGTATCCTTTACACTGTGTTTCACTAACTCCGTATGAAGCGGCTGTAAGATTTCGACTAGCCATTTGGCTACAGGATGGTATGGCGAATTTAACATATCTAACACTGGTCGAAGCGGTACACCATCTTTGTGCACTTTAGGCGAACCATATAGTCTTGGTGTAAAAGTTCCAGTGGGTTTAAGAGATGTATACTGACCCTGTGAGATGAACCCTTGTTGTTTCAGTCGCTTCAATGTTTCCGTTAGCTGTTTCTCAGTCCTTTCAATCGAATCTAGAGAAGAGGAAATTCCTATATCATTTGTGAAAGAGCTTCTCTTGAAATTTACAATGAATGTCCACTTTTTATTTAATAAGGAACTATATAGACAAATTGACGGTGTGGCAATGGGGTCACCACTGGGACCCATTCTAGCCGACATTTTCTTTGCGAAACTAAAAAATTGGCCTCTGAAGGAT